TACACACACACACACACACACACACACACACACACACACAAAACAAATCATGTTTAAATGACTCACTGCTCAGTGCCCATAGGAGAAATTAAGAAGCAGTCAGCCCCACCTTGCTAAAAAAAAAAAAAAAAAAAAAAAAAATTAACTCAAATACCAGTCCATTCTGTGTTTTCGATTGGATCCAACCAAAAATGAGAGAAATAATCTATCCATCCCAGATTAACATGTTAAAAGACGAATTCCCTGCTATTGTGGAACTCCAACAGAGAGTCAGTGACTCGAGGTGAGTGAGGTAATATATTTTATTGGACCAACTTCTGTTGGCGAGAGAGACAAGCTTTGAAGCACCGTGTAAGCTCAAAAACTTGTCTCTCTCAGCAACAGAAGTTGGTCCAATAAAAGTTATTACCTCACCCATCTTGTCTCTCTAATACCCTAGGACCAACACAGTTACAAGATTGCATACGTGGAGAGTCAGTGACATCCACAGAGTTTTCAGCTCTTTAGCACCAACCACTTCAAAATACATTTTTCAGCTTCAGTAATGAATAAAACTGCCATTTGTACAGTTAATAGCTCTGAACCACCCCCTGCAGAGAGTTTTCAGATGCCCAGGAGGCAGTTAATTTTTAGCCTCTTAAGGTCTGAAGTTATATAATCCTTACCTTTGTTTGAGTTGCATCGCCCTTCTCAAACATCATCTTTAGTTTGTTTAGTGGGATGTTATATTTCTCTATCTTCCCCGAAGAGTCCGGGTTTTCACTGGCCTCAGGTTTGCCTACTTCTTGTCTGGATTCTCTTACACAATTTTCCATTTTATCACTCTCCAATGAGTAGATCTTAGACTCCTTGCTGTCAACACTTGGATATTTCAATTGGTCAAAGGCTCCAGAAGGCGATCGGAGTTGAGATTTAGTATAGACCCTTGATGTTTGGTCAGTTTCTGCTTCAGAAGCAGGGTTGGTTTCTACTCCAACACTGGGGCTGGCAACCTTCTGCCTAACCTCAGTACAGTTGCTTTGTAGGGTTTCTGTCCCAGACTCTGTTCCCAATATTGGCTTCTCCCACTTCTTCTTTAACACACTCAGAGTCCCCCTTTTAAAATGAGGAGGAAGATTTTCTGTGTTCTAAAAAGAACAAGAAGTTAATGCCAGTCAAACTGCCTGATGAAGCATTAAAGCACTTCTTTTCTGTACAAAAGGAAGTAAAGACTCAGTGCTGATCTTAGCCCGCTGCTCTTTCAGACAGCTGTGAATAGTTACAACTGTGCCACATGGAGAAAGCATCTAAGGTAGGGGAGGGGGGAGAAGAGAAAAGCTAGAAGCTGAAGCAGGAAGTGATCAAACAGGATGGCCTTATAAGGAAAAAATGGGAATCAAGGTCTAATGAGAGTTAAAGACACAAAAGGCTTGAATCCACACACTAAGGAGATCTAACAGAATCAACACCAGTAGACTTTAGAATTAGAGACTTATGTTAACAATGGGACAAGCAGGCACATGTGGAGGGGTGCTATGCCAAATGTTGCAATGTTTTCCATCTGCTCTAAGGGAAGCAGGGAGAACAATTAACTATCTATTCCAAGAACTAAAGATTATCTTTCAGAAACCATTACTACTTTGGATTTATGCATTTCTACTTTCAGTTAGTGGCAGCATTTCAGTGCCAACAGGCCTCTAAACTCAATATTTTACACCACCCAATACAAATTAAACATTACAATTCTTTTTCATCCATTTATAAAATCTGATCATATAGTGGAATATTTAATTCTTCTACTAAAGGTAACATTGTGATCACTGAACGACACACCCTCATGCACGTAAGTTAAATCCTACAAGCATTGCCACACTACTGCCATAAACCAACAGAACATATTCTGGGTTAGCTGATAGTGACCCACAGTAATACTACCCCTCAGATTCAAGTACCTTCAGACTACTTATGCTCAACAGTGATTACCCCACGTGCAAACAGAACCCCCCATTTAGCAAATTCACATCTAATACCTGCCAGCGCTGCATTTTTGTGGTCTGCTCCTTATGGATCCTACCATAAGTGAAACTAACTGCAAGTAGAACAGGTCTGCAAGGCTTTAGGGAATTAAACAGGATTAGCAGCTATATTGGGATTTAAGTCTCTCACCCCATTACTCTTCTAGTCACATTCTGAATGCTTCTTTGCAAACTAACTAGAATCCACCTAAGCTTCAGGAAAAGATGAGTTCATTTGCTCACTGTATTTAAAGCAAGTACCAAAGTTGTAGGGAAAATGGCACAATGTATTAAAGAGGTAACAAAGGTCCCCCGCGTGAAGGGTTTTCAGAACAAAATTAGACACTGAAGTTCCTGCAGCTAAAGTCTTCTTGAATCCCAGGTGCACTGCTGGATATGGAGTTCTGGCATGCATCATACCATGAGTCATTCTGTGCTTAGGCTCTGCTTTGCCCTGCCCATACAAGTGATGCAATAGCTTCCAGTAGTGAGCTGGCATTCTTCCCTATTAACGCTGAGAGATTACATCCTGCAAAGCACCCCATAACTTGCTCTTATAAATAGGTTTAAATATAACTGTTTTAAGCAAGAATTATTGACCTACATGATCATCCAAAGATTTACTGAGACCTGACAGAGTATGGGAATGAAAGAGCATTGAACAGGTTCCTGCCTGGTCTTTCTTGCCCTGGCTACAGTGACCCAGAGACAAGACATCCAATGCTTATTAAGTGTGCCATCGAATTGCTCACTTATGACTGAGGAAGCATGCTCAGAGAGGGAATTGCTCATTCCTTCTGGACACCGTAGTTAACCCTGTACATTTTAAATGAAGAATAAGCAGAGATTCTGCTTGAAAATGCAGACTTGCCATCTTAGTGCATTCTCACCCACCGGATCCCCTGATCCCAGAGCAGTGGGAGGAAGCGAAACGGTAATAGCAGAGCCAAACAGAATGGCTCTTCTCCCCCAAGGCAAGAAAGTCCAAATGATTTAAAAATCTACTTCAGAGAAGGGTCCCTAAATGGATTCTGCAGTTAGAAAGAAAAATAAAAAATTAGAACTATTGGAAGCTGACAGCATCCCTTTAAGCTTCAAAATTTAGATAAGAAATGAGCAAACAAGCATAGAAACCATACAGCTGCCTACAGCTCAGAACACAGAGGTGGTCATTCATGTTTTGTCATTAGAACAGAGGACTCAGAGCCAGATGCATCTTGGCTTCTATTTAGAACTGAACCAATGATTCAGTGTGATGCCTCAGGCAAGTCACTTGACTTCCTTGTGCTTCAGTCAACCTAGTGGGGGAAGACAGGCCAAAAGCAAGCCCTTAGTGAAAAAAGGCAAACACTGCATCTAAGCCAAGTATTCCTGCAAACACAAAGTACAAAAAAGCCACAGAGCATGTATGGGTTGTTTAGCTTCCCTCAAGAGCAGCAGTCTCAGGAAAGGTGTAACATAGCTAGTTACCCTAATTTACATGATGCTTCTCATTCCAGAAGGATCATAAATACTTACATTTCTTTTTTTCTCTGCAGTAGCTTCTTCGGCTGCTTTCTGATACCTTTTGGGAAAGGGGGGGGAAAAATTAACTGGACTACAAAGTTCCAAATCTTTTGGTGGGAGCACATTCACCCTGCAACAAGGATATTACATACTTTCCAGACCTCATGAACAAAAAACTGGAGATCTCGAACACTTATCAGTATGACTGGTTGATTGTCATGGAAAAAGTGGTAAAAGACACAAAAGCGTATGAACAATGTAACAAGGTACAGTGACATGTTCTTTTGAGCAATACAACTCTTACAGACAAAAATGATATTTAAAACCCATTAACTAGTAAAGCCATTAAAAAAAACAGCAGCCATCCCACACTTCATTGCCCTGGACAGATAGAACCAAAGCTAAGAGATCGTGAAAGACCTTGCTCAGTTGGTTGCAAAGACTAAAAGAGAGCCCAAATAAATTGTAAAAAAAGCCATAGGTTTTCCCACCAAAATGTCGTAGCGACAAACAACTTTATAGTAATTAAAGTTCTACTTTTCAGAAGCAATGGATGGTAGCCTGTTTCCTACATTTATAGTCTGCCGCTGAATTCTCCAGTGTACCATTCAGGAGCCTTACAACTCCAGCTGTCTTGCAGTCACATCCATGCCATCATATCGTTGGAATCAAACACACCACTTAGATCTCTCTTGCCTGCTTGGGGCCTGATGCTGAAAGATGCTTAAAGTAACCTAAGAACAGATTGCATATATGATCTCTTAGGCTTTGCAAATCCTATTATTCTCTAGCCTCTGAACATGTCATATGAGAGTTTTTAAAAGTTAAATCACATATCTGTTTGGAGTTTTAATTTTAAAGCCAAATTGTCAGCAAGTTACAGCCAGTTAGTGACACAGTAGCAGATTTGAAAGGACATTATAAACTCACAGTTCTTGAAATATCTGCTGGTGCCACCCCCATGACTAAATCTTATCTGGTGGCCTAATCCAGTAGAAGAAACAATCTCTTACCACCCTGCCTATATTTGTACTCTATCACTGAGTTTTGTATCAGGCCATTTGTTTACACTCTGTGCTGGATTTGTGCATCTTGCATGGGAGGTTTCTCCCTCCCTCTCCTCCTTTGTTAGTCTAAGCAGAAAGCATGTGCTGCTCTCCCACCCCATGAGCTGCACAAGCAGCTTCCATTCTGAAGGACAGAAGAAAAACACACAAGCGCCTGCACTTGATGGATGTAGTTACGCTGGTCCAAGCCTTTGACGATCTAGGGCAGTGATTCTCAAACCTTTGCAGTGGTGACCCCTTTCACACAGCAAGCCTGTGCGTGTGACCCACCCTTATAAATTAAAAACACTTTATATATTTAACCCCATTATAAATGTTGAATGCAAAGCAGGGTTTGTGGTGGAGGCTGACAACTTGTGACCCCCCCATGCAATAACCTCGGAACCCCCTGAGGGGTCCCAACCCCCAGTTTGAGAACCCCCAATCTAGGGTGTACTGTGCTACAAAGCTTCCAAGTTTGTCTTCCCAACTCAGTTCCTCCATGGCAAGGCACAGAACTGAAGTGAGCAACAAATGGGGCGAATCCCTTGCTGCTCCGCCTCTTCCTGGATAGAGACACAAAGATGCACTGGAGAAAACAGACTGAAGGTGTGCCAGAGGGTGGGGTGGCCCTTTAGGGGAGCTGGCTTAGCCCCACCTCTGACTAATTAGATGCATCCCAGGTGATTGATTGGATGTCAGGCATCACGTGATCATCAGCAGGTCACCTGATCCTCAGATAAAAGGCCAACAAACAGCTCAATTTGGGGCAGAGAGACTGGCAGGGAACAGTTAGGCTGGTGCTCGAAGGCTATTTTATTTGGCTGCTGAAATGAAGTGTGTGCAGAGTAAAAGCCACTGCAAACACTTGATTCTGGGACAGACAGACAGCCCCAGGTAGCTAACTTCCATGACAATGGAGCATGTGGCAGAAATACATTTGTGTAACCAGGAGCTCAGGCTTGTGCAGAGCCAAGACTTAATTCAAAACTTTAATTGATTTTTCAAAAGAAGGAAATGCCTGTAGAAGGAATGTGATCAGTTTATGGAAACATGGGCCAAGATTATCAGCCCTGCATATTTGAGTGCAACTTCACTGGAGTCAAGGGAGCTGCAGCCACTGGTAGCATAGCAGAATTTGGACCTAATCTATCAATAGCCATTCATTGGGGGAGGGGGACAATTATATTCCCCAAATTTAGTGTTTAATTTCTAGGAGAGTAAATTACATCTCTTCTATCTCTCTTTGCTGATTCTTTTGCCCATCACAACCCCTGAACACTAGCAATACCCAAAGAGTATCCATCACTGAAACAAAGTACTGATTTCAGTGTGTCTGGTAACAAGTTTGTGTCTCTGCTGTTCAAAGGAGTACACTACAGTTGTAGCCTACAAGGTAAGACGAGATGGTGAGGTTCTAGCATATTGGATTTATGTATTAGTTTTGCACCTTTTGAAAGCTTTTGCTCAAATCCCAATTGGCCACTTGCAACAATTAACATGGTGATCTCGTCCGAATCTATGAGAAATCTCTCCATTTTTGTACAACTGGACTACCATTGCTGGATAAGCCCAGGACTGGAAATGGCAGGGCAACTGCATGAGTGGAACAAGGTTCATTGGCAGAGTTGTGCATGAGACCCAGGCAAAGAGTGAGGTGCATTGGAAAAAAATATCAGAAGACTGAAGGAAAAGGTAGCCTGGAAAGGCATGGATGTTGCAGGCAGGGACTGAGGTATTGTGCCAGTATTGGAAAGGAGTCTGCACAATGCCTGGTTTAAATCTGCACTAACAGCCCCTCCATTTCACTAATAGTTAGTCACAAACTTATAAACAAGTTGAGAAGAGAATCCTGCTGTGGATTTCAAGATTGGTGAACTACGTGGGAACTGAAGTGTCCTTTCTAAATAGCCCTGCCATTGCTTTCATAAGGGTAGGGAAGCCCTGCTTGGTTAAAGTATAGTGTGGTGAATTACTCCAGTAAATGCCATTTTAAAGGATTATTAAAGTTTAGCAAATTGACCAGGCTCAATTTCAAAATCACAGCTAGCGGCAGATGAATCACTGACTACAGCCATAACAAGCATTTTCTTCCTTGCACTCAACACTTCTGAAAAACAAAATAGCATGTTCCAGGAATGGACTAGAGATCAGGTATTTTAAAAAAATAATTCAGAGCAGCCGCCTCTCATGTGAGGCTTCCACACATCCCATTACCAATTACAGAAGTTGATACCAGGCAATATTATTAAAATAGGCTGGGATTTTCAAAGCAGCCTAAGGGAGTTAGGTGCCCAACTTACACTAAAGGTCCCCACCTGTGGTCTGCACATTTCTCAAGTACCAATGACATGCATTTCCAGCAAGCATGCTTAATGTAAGTGTTTGCTTAGTAGGGCTGCCTCCTTCCTTGGTTACAAGAAAACATTATTGTTTGAATGGGAAACCAATGTAAGATTCCACAGTCTACCTTGCCTCTCTGCAAGTGAACACTCCTCTAATAAAGACAGATTAGAAGATGAATCAACCATCAAGATTGCACCTTCTCTTCCAGCAGGAGGGGGGTGCTAGTGCTCACAATGGCAGCCAGAAAGGGATATTGTAGTTCTATGGCTAATGCATCAGGATTTGCCAACTGCCTGAAGCACATTCTGCGAGTATTTTATTGCACAGAGGATGGGGTTTAACTGAATTTTAAAAAGGTAAGCAGTGCAGACGGGGAACTGCCACCATCAGCTCGCAAGGTGTCAGCTGCTAGGCTACACACCTGTTTTTGAACTAAAGCTTCACAGCACTTACTTGGAGAACCTCTCAAGGAGAGCTGATGACTTATTCTTGTTGACTAGAGAAAGCTCTTTGGCAGTGATTCTCAGAGACTGCGAAGTCCATTGTCTTCTGTTAAATGGAGATGGCTCCATCTTGTGAAAGCAGAAAGATCTACGAAAAACAAAGCAAAGAAATAATCAATATGAAATAGTGATCCAAAAAGGATTTGGACTGAGTGGCTACAAATTGTCAAAAGAACAGGAGTACTTGTGGCACCTTAGAGACTAACAAATTTATTAGAGAATAAGCTTTCGTGGACTACAGCCCACTTCTTCGGATGCAAATTGTCAGTCTTTATTTGGGCATTACAAGCATGTCTCATATCATTGTTGCCAAGTAACAGTCACTGCAGGCTCCTTGGATCAAGTGGATAAAAAACTAAATCAATAGCTCTAGATTAAAAAACATCTTCAAGGAACTTTAATCTATTTTACTGGTAAAAACACTGACCATTGCAACAGAATGGGAAGAGAAGACAAGCTCAGAGCGAAAAGGATGCTAACATGAGACCCTCTGCAATTCAGATCCATAGGCTCCATGGCACAAATAAGCTCCAGGAGGCCCTGTCTGCCCTTTCCCACTCTGGTTTCTAAAACAAACCTTCAGGCATTTATGTAAGAAGGTTAGAGTTATGAAACCTAAGAGGATGTAATTGCTTTGCAAACATTGCTCATTTATTGTCATGGTCTTCAGATTTAATGCAGCAGCCGCTTCCTCTGTGAGTTGGAACAAGTCCTCCGCTCATGCACAGGTCTGCAAACTTGATATTACAACAGCTCTCAGTTACCTAAAGGAATGGCTTTAAACATCCAGTTTACAGCAGTACAGAGACAAGGTTTTGAACAGCTCTTCAGCATGGAAGCTGTCAGAAAGCGAAACCAGAATTTATGCACATCTTAATTTTTTTTTTTTTTTTTTAAGTAACAGTTTTGAGGGCCCCATGATAACTCCACAAATGATTTGGCTCCTAATGGGCATGTTGCTTGTTCCTCCTTTCTGTGATATTGGGGCGCAGAGTATCAGTTGATCACACCAGAGACACTGCAAGGTGACACTGTTTAAGGCAACATTTCTTCTCACACGTCTGAAGATTGCTCCCATAAGATATGGGAGCATAAATTGATAGAGGGATCCTTATAGTGTTACGGTAAAGAAATACTGCCTAGATTGATATTTTTTCATCAGTTTCATGTATTTAATTTGATCCATTCACAAGTGGAAAAGAAAAGATTTATTTACTAGACCAGGGGTCAGCAACCTTTCAGAAGTGGTGTGCCGACTCTTCATTTATTCACTCTAATTTAAGGTTTCCCGTGCCAGTCATACATTTGAACATTTTTAGAAGGTCTCTTTCTATAAGAAGTCTATAATATAAAACTAAACTATTGTTGTATGTAAAGTAAATAAGGTTTTTAAAATGTTTAAGAAGCTTCATTTAAAATTAAATTAAAATGCAGAGTCCTCCGGACCCGTGGCCAGGACCCAGGCACTGTGAGTGCCACTGAAAATCAGCTCACGTGCCGCCTTCGGCACACGTGCCATAGGTTGCCTACCCCTGTACTAGACGCTGACGAGCCCTCAGAATATAGCGCCACAGATCCACTCTTGGAGTAAAATCACACCTGAAATGGAAGCACTAAGAAAATGTTAGTGTCACCACAACTAAAAGCAGAGAACTAGCACACTTCTCTAGGGACTTTTTTTCTAACCCATGCAATAAAGGACCCAGAATAGGGAAAAATGTGCATCAGGATGAGAACCTACTTTATGATATGATGCACTCATGATTACTTCCTGGTTTGAAAACAGACACTTTGCAAGCACAGCAAATCCAGGCTGCACTACCATTGAATGGATTTCAGATTAATCCTTTCAGGCTATACTCCTGATGCAGTTTGAGCACAGCTCTTAAAAATCTGTAGGTGGACAAGTCAATACATTCTAACTTTTTCCAACTTCAAGTACTGGAGACGGTAACCACTGACCACCAGGAACCATCTATGGATGTGTCTCCACTAAGGACAGGGTTCTTCAGAACAGCCCATTTGAATTTCACTGGCACAACGTTCTGAAAGGTCTACAAGACAGCACATACTGACAAACCAGTGCCAAAACTAGAGTTTGCATATGAAAGCAAAACTTCCTATTAGCCACAACAGTAAAAAACAAACAAACAAAAAGCATACTACTGGTTCCTCAAATGGTAGAAGT